TAATAGGTCTAGAAGTAAACCCAATATAATTTTTTTCACACACACATTTTAATAGATACACAACCCAACTTGTATTACACGAACTGTAATGTTGTAGTTGCATCCTAAACCCGGGTAAGATTACTTCATCTGTTTGCCAAACTTGTTTACAGCAACTACAGTGTGAACATTTGAAATGTCCTGTTTTTTGTATGTTTTGAATGGGTGTAGTTTGATGATTGGTATGTATTAGGAGGTCCTTGAGATTTTTAGTTCTCCTGTATCCAATTTGAGGTTTCTCAGAACAACCTGGTATGTCACTGAGCACATGCCAGTGTTTGAGTACTATGCTTTTCATTCTAGGGGCTAAGGAGTTATATTCTATTGCCCCAAAAATATTACTTTTGTTGCCTGTTCTTGTCTTCTTATTTGATTTCAATAAATTTTCTCTGTTTATTTCAGTAGCCCTTAAAGCTGCACTATGCACGATAGTTTCTGGATAGCCCCTGTTTCTAAACTGTTGGCAAATTCTCCTACTCTCCTTTCTGTAATCTTCCTCCTTGGTAGAGTTCCTTTTGGCTCTAATCAGTTCACTGAAGGGTAAGCCATATTTTATATGGGACACATGATGTGATTTATAATGCAGAAAGCTATTTTTATCAGGAGATAGACACACAGAGAGAGACACACAGAGGAAAAGCCCAAGTGCACGGGAGAAGAGGGGTAATTAAACTTTACACTGGGAAATAGGGGTGAGGATAAAACAAACACTGTGGTGGCAGCTGCCACTGACACAGTGTTATTTTAATCTGCATAGCTGGGCTTTCTTTCTAAGACACTTGACTGGGGACTCCTGCCATAGAGGTTTCAAGGCAAGAGATGAATGGAGGTCATTCGCCATTGCCTGCCACTGCGTAGCAAACCTGGACTTCCTCGGTGGTCTCCCATCCAAGTACAAGCCAGGCCCAACACTGCTTAGTTTCCAAGATCTGATGAGATGGGGCTAGACTGGGCCATCCATGTCGGGACTACTAATGATAGGGCGTTTTAACCATCACTGACAACAGGTATTGACACCTGTCAGCAAGCTGCCAAGTTTCGTTTGGTTTCCTTTCCCATGCGCATTCCTTCTCCTGCGCTTAATTGCCGCTTCTGCTGCAACAGCTATCTTTCAAGGCCGCTGGAGGAGTCAATGAGGTTATTGCTTTTGCTTTGCTTTGGTTTTAGTAGAGATGAGCCGTGGGAAGCTCATACCTGTTTTGCTTTGGGTAGCAGTTGGTTCCCAAGCCTCATGGCGCACGTGGGAACCGTAGTAATTGGGTGTTGCCAATATGAATGTACTATAACCTTCCATGCGCATAGTTACCTGTCATTCCTAACAGTGTTCCTGTCCATGCATCTATAGCTTCAAATAAAGTAAAACCTTCCTGCAAGTGTGTACTTCATTGTCGCTGTGGGTCCTGACAACACCGTGTGTGACAGGTCTCCCTCACAAAGTGCAGACTACTGCACTGAGATGTACGAATTCCTTAAAGTTACCCGTAAACGTTGGCTGCGGTCAGACTGGCAGTTTGGCCCGATATAGCTGCGTTCCCCTGACGAATTAAAGCGGCAGGGTCACAGCACCACATCTGTCAGCCGTTCCTCAGTCATACTTAACCGTTGTATGATGAGTTGGAAACAGAGTAAATAGACACCACATAACTTGGTGTTTTTGGTTCCCCACACATTCATCATGCGTGGCTGGATGTCTGAATGTGTGGGAGTGCACGCAAAATGGATTGGCAATCTGAACCCGCAGATCTATTTTCACTTTTTTTTTTAGTGTCTGCCAATGATGCGCATATGTGCATGCAACCACCTGCATTTTTTAAAAATGACTGGGCAGCACGCTCCATGGCTGAGGCGGTGCAGTAATGTGGATGCATGTCCATGGGACAGCCACGCAGGTGACCCACAGTAGGATGTCCTGTCTCTTTGGTATGCCCCGTAATAGTTCAAAGCACAACAATTAGAGGCGGTGCCATATCGCTCCAAGCCGCCAGTCTGTCTGCAGCCATGGTTTATCTATAGCCAGGATCAAACGAGCAAGCTGTGGACCCCTTTCCCTCTGCTCTTACCCCACAGCCATTTACCTCCTCTCTTGTTTGACAGGATTTGAGGAGCAATGACATAACTTGCTTGTGGGGACCAGGAGCCACACTGCAAACACAGGTGCTCTTTCCTATCAAGTACGGATCCTATAGTGCTGACATCTCCTATTCCTGTCTCTTCCTGTAGGGTTGCCAAACTCCAGCTGGGACCTGTCGATCTCCCGGAATTACAACTGATCTTCAGATTACAGAGATCAATTTTCCCGGAGGAAATGGCTGCTTCAGAGGGTGGACTCTATGGCATTATCCCTCGCTGAGGTTCATCCCATATCTAAATCCCGCTCTCCACAGCTGGCAACCCTATCCTGCTGGGAATGCAGCTGTACTGGCTTAGCATAAAAAAAAGAGAGTTCCCAAACACTTAATCCATTTTTTTCAAGTTGATAACACAGCACACTGATTTCCAAACGCTGTTCTGGTAAACTGCCGGTAAGAGGACCGATAACGGTGGGCAAGCTTCTAAAAAAATACATCTTGGCTACCATTCGTGAAAGTGGGCCAGTGGGTGTGGTCTACACTGCAGTCTTCAAGTGAAGGATGATGATGTCACACGGAAACAGAGCTCAAAGAGAATGTCCAAATTGCCTAAGATGAGCCTGACCATTTCCAGATGAAAGACCAGTCATGCGCAGCAGCCACCGGAAGGTTCACGCTTCAAGGTGGGCAGTCTGCCCTTTATTCTTAAAAGCACAGGACAAACATTCACGTACCGATCCATTCTTTGGCTGCTTTATTAATTAAGCATTTTTTTAAAAGGAAAAAAAGGCTCTGTGGTTAGGGGAAAGGTTGCATGATGACATTAGGCAAATCGGTATATTCGGCTTTGCGTTTTAAGTTTTCGAAACCATTCTGTCCTAGACTTTGGCCCTTTCTTCACTCTCCTTTTAATCCATGCTCACCGTGGTGTCCTCCAATCAGTTTTGCACTAAAATTGAATTCAGCCTTCTTTTTAATCCAGTTTTCCCTCCCCCATTCTACACTAAAATCAAGTTCAGCCTTCTTTTTATTCCAGGAATTTCCCCTATTCCGCATTACATTCCCTCCCTTCAGTGGTCAGCCCGGTTTCAGCCTGCTGTTGCCCCGGGTTATTCGGATGCTGTTTCACCATGAACTAGAATTGCCTTGACCTGAACACAGAAAATTCGGAGTGGCAGGCAAATGCGGAAAGGACCTAGATTCTAAAGAGGAATGGGCGCATTGAGTCAGAATACAGAGAGTGCATTTACTGGGCAGATGCGCTGCTCTTATAAATGATCTGTATTTCTTCAGCTTCAGTGCACGGAGATACCAGTGGGGCCTGAAATGCTTGATCGACACTCTTTGCAAGCTGAGGACACAGACGTTGCCTTTAAACCCATTGCAGTAAAGCTGCCGAATATGCTGGTTGCTCGAACAATCCAAACGTATCGGTCACCCACTAAACAGAGCCTTTACACTAAGAATTTTAGAATTCTGATCATGGTAATCACTTGTCTCTTTTAGAAATACGGTAGATTTTTTACCTTTACAGTAAGAATTTTAGAATTCTGATCATGCTAATCACTTGTCTCTTTTAGAAATAGATTTTTTACGAAAACAAAACTGCAGCTGGACAGAAGAGAACACTTACAGAAGCTCAGCTGACGACTTTCACAAAATTCTGTGTATTGTGCTGAGTCCATCATTCGGGTTTGTCTTTCTGCTCTCTGGAAGAAACAACAACAACAACACGAGCTCGTTATCCAAATGCGATTCAAAATAAATGGAATCTACAGAAGTCTCATGATCACAGGTGACTCAAGACCACATGAACCTTTGCTGTCCAAGACAGTTCAATTTAAGGGGACTATTCTTTGCTGATGACATTCCCTCAAAATGGCTGAACTCATTTGGGCACCTTGCTCTTTCCCCAAGGAGCTCAAGGCGGCCCTTATTCCTCCCAGCATCGGCTGCATTAACAGGCACTATATTGTTCTTGAAACTGTCCATTAAGTCAGTCTAAGTCAACACTCTCTTGCTCAGTGCCCAATGCATCTTCAGCCTGTTCCTTTTGAATGTGAGCCATGGACTCACGGTGGCTCAGAGGTTAAGATGCTGAAGTGCAGGCTGTGGAAGGTCGGTAGTTCAGCAGTTCAAGACCCGAGTGCCGCGTGACGGAGTGAGCTCCCGTCTCGGACCCCAGCTCCTGCCAACCTAGCAGTTCGAAAGCAAGAAACTGCAAGTAGATAAACAGGGACCACTTCGGTGGGAAGGTAACAGAGTTCCGTGTGCCTCGGCGTTTAGTCATGCCAGCCACATGACCATGGAAACGTCTTTGGACAGCGCTGGCTCTTCGGCTTTGAAATGGAGATGAGCACCGCCCCCTAGAGTTGGGTTCGACTGGCTTTCGAGCAAGGGAAACCTTTACCTTTTTACATGGACCAGAGAGAAGCCTGCAACCCCCCACCGGGGTTTGTGTGCCCCACCCATCCTGCAGTAGCCTGGCCTCCGAGGGTGGGATGCTTGAGAGCTAACTGGCTGACAAAGCAATGGTGGGCCGAACAGCCCAAAGTAATCCTTGTTTTCCACATGCCCCCCAGGTACAAATGATGCTCCGGCTTATGGCTGCAGCCATAAGTCAGTACAAGATGACCGTTTTTTATAAAACCTTTTTAAAAACCTTTATATAACTCATTTCATTTTCATTGTTTATATGGCAGGGCAGACAACTTGGTACAACAGCCACATACCAAAATCCATCCTCTTTTGCGTGGCTTTGAACCCCTGTATTTTCTAAAGCTCCTTATTTGCTCTATTCTTATCATTTAGCACAGGGGGGAAAAACCATCCTTTTTGTTGTCTAAAATGGATGGCTGACTGGTGCACATTTGACTTTCAAAGACATCCTAGTGATTTAAAATGGACATTACTTCTAACCGGGTGTGTGTGAGCATATTCCCTGCTCGGTTCTGATTCCACAGTTCCATTATGACCGGGAACTCTGGTTGTCTTAGAGAAAGAAAAGGCAACACACAGTCCTGATTCGTGTGTACTCACACAAAAGTTTATTTTGTGGACATTCATGAATACATTTAGAAAATTAAATAAATGGTTTCCGTGAAAGAAAAAAAATATTTATTTATGTGCCTCTGAATAGAAATACAATGGAACAATGTTCCCCGGTCACATTAAATTCCTTTAACCGTACCCCTTTATGTGTCAAAGCAATGTGACGTTTCTCCGCACTCAATGGATTAGAGATTTGAAGGGGGTTTCTTTTTGTTTGTTTATATACTTACAAAATTTATATCCTTCCTTTCTGCTCTTACAAGGGCCGCTAAGGCGGCTAACGATTCAAAACATACACGATCCCCTGACCTGGATAGCCCAGGAAAGCCGGATCTCGTCAGATCTCAGATGCTAAGCAGGGTTGACTCTGGCAAGTCCTTGGATGGGAGACATCATGGGAATACGAGAGGTGGGAGGACAGGGGCAGGCTTTATTCAGCCACTTCTCTGAATATCCTCCAGGCCCCCTGTAGGGGTCAGTCACCAGAGGTCGCCATGACCAATGTTCCCTCTAAGCTGTGGAGTCCTGTGAGCAAAAATTCTGCTTTGTGAGCTCCTGGCATTAAAGCTCTGAGCCAGCGATTTGGCTGCTGCATAAGTTAGTTTGCTCTTGGAGCCGTCCGTCCTGAGCTGAGACAAAAATGTGTGAGCCGGAGGCTATAAAACTGTGAGCTAGCTCACACTAACTCAGCTTAGAGGGAACACTGGCCATGACTCCCAGGTGCACACACACACGCACACACATTGAAAAATACAATAAAATACAGTATAGAACCATTGAAATAAGCCCCCTCCCCAAACATACTTCATTAAGCCGCACTTAATAGTTCAACATAGACTTAAGAGCCTGCGCCCTGGAATCCATCACTGGCTGCCTGAACTGTGCCTGCACTTAATATATCATGGGGCCTGGACAGCAGTTTTATAACTACTGCTGACTGGGTACCCACTATGGTTAATATTAAAACTGTGTTCTTGCCGTCCTAATTGTAGCAATTGTATATGTAGCACCTTATATGTAGCACAGTATATATAAGCACCTTATAAATGTTTTAGGATTTTAGTCTGTTTTAACTTTTAACCTTTAATGGAAGCCGCCCTGAGCCAACCTCGGTGGGGAGGGCGGGGTATTGTAGCAGGAACTCCTTTGCATAATAGGCAACACAACCCCCCCAATGTAGCCAATCCTCCAAGAGCTTACAGAGCTCTTCTTACAGGGGCTACTGTAAACTCTTGGAGGATTGGATACATTAGGGGTGTGTCGCCTAATATGCAAAGGAGTTCCTGCTACAAAAAGAGCCCTGATAAACAAACAAATAAACCAAAAAAAACCAGGCCTTCAAATAGGAGCCACTTCCTACAACCAAACTGCGGTAAGGCCCTCTATACTATCACCAGGAGCCTGCAATGGTTTCTACTAACGGTCCGATAAGCCGGTTACCAACTCTGGCTATACTCTTTTGTGATCTTTCCACCATGGCCTACTAGGATTACTATGAAGAAGAGAAGAAGAGATTGGATTTATACCCCGCCCTTCATTACCCGAAGATGTCTCAGAGCGGCTTACAAACTCCTTTCCCTTCCCCTCCCCACAACAGACAGCCTGTGAGGTAGGCAGGGCTGAGAGAGCTCTGACAGGAACTGCCCTTTTTCAAGGACAGCTCTTATCAGAACTATCTAGTAAAACAGTAAATCACCGCGTACAATTAAACAGTATTTGTTGGGTTTTATATGCAATGTTTAGAATTCAATTATTAACAAAATTACAACAATAACACTACAATATGCGATATAAAGCTTAGCAGTACATACAGAGTAATACAGTACTAGTTACAGACAAACGACGGAGTTCTAGTACACTATCTAGTACACAGTCCATTAAAAAAATAGACATATTAGGATGGGCTCTAACCAAAAACAACTCTTGCTGAAACAGATCCTACCATACTTTCTTGACCTTTGTCTACGTTGAAGGAGAGGGGCCATTGTCTTTAACCCCCGGTTCACATTCTTTCGTTTGAAGGCTGGCAACCTTTCCTCCTCAGGAGTATCCAAACGCCACTCCCAACAATTATCACTCAAGGCAAGCTCTCAAGAACATTAAGATGTCAGCAAACGTTGATGAGCCTGTTCTGGAAGAGCTCTGATAGAAGAAGAGGAGGAGGAGGAAGAGGAGATTGGATTTATATGCCTCCCTTCACTTGGAGTCTCAGAGCGGCTTATAATCTCCTTCCCTTCCTCTCCCCACTACAGACACCCTGTGAGGTAGGTGGGGTTGAGAGAGCTCTTGAACATAAGAATATAAGAACATAAGAGAAGCCAATGTTAGATCAGGCCAATGGCCCATCCAGTCCAACACTCTGTCACACAGTGGCCAAAAATACCAGGTGCCTTCAGGAGATCCATCAGTGGGGCCAGGACACTAGAAGCCCTCCCACTGTGCCCCCCCAAGCACCAAGAATACAGAGCATCACTTGCCCCAGACTGAGAGTTCCTATCTATACCTTGTGGCTAATAGCCACTGATGGACCTCTGCTCCACATGTTTATCCAATTCCCCCTTGAAGCCATCCATGCCTGTAGCTGCCACCACCTTCTGTGGCAGTGAATTCCATGTGTTAATCACTCTTTGGGTGAAGAAGTTCTTGTGAACTGCTTTTGGAAAACAGCTCTGAGAGAACTTCTGACAGACCCAAGGTCACCCCAGCATCTACATGTGGAGGAGTGGGGAATCAAACCCGGTTCCCCCAGAGCTCGCACTCTTAACCACTACAACCAGACTGGCTTCTGCAGTCCTTCCCCAAGGCCGAGCACTTTCAAGAAATCCCTGGAACAGAAGTCCCATTTGCATGGACTCCACACTTGATACAGCAGGCCCATTGGTGGTGCACATATAGTTTGCCACAACGAATGTGTTAAGTACAGACGACTTCAAAAACCTACATACATTTTCCTTGGAACTCTGTGAGAGCTGGAGCAGCACTGCATATGTACACTGGTGTTTAAAGACTAGGTCTTAGATCCAATGATGCGCAAGTGAAAACATCAGTGGACTCAGTGCAGTTTTGCTTGCACGAGGTCTTGTGCAAGACTGAGCACTCTCACGGCCCGGAAATTGGTTGCAGAAGATCTTCTAAAAGCAGGAACACAAATAGCGATACAAGCCGCTCACTTATCACAAAGGCCGCTGCAGTCTTTTTTTTTCTTGCATTTCTGCCCAGGTGAAAATTTTTGCCCTGCTTCCAACTCATTGATAGGATCTACACTCCACGTCTCTGTGCTAGGAAGCATTACTGTGACACTGGGGGTACCTGCAACCAGGCATACCTGCTGTGTAAATGGTATAGGTATTCCCAAACAGTTGTTCTGAATATATAAATAGAGGATGCTGGACCGTGGGGAGAAAGCGAGGGAATGGCTGTGAAGCATTACAGGATGTAGCAGTAGAAAAGGGCAAGAGTCCAGCAGCACCTTAAAGACTAACAGAAGAAGAAGAGGAGGAGGAGGAGGAGGAGATTGGATTTATACCCCGCCCTTCACTACCCAAAGGTGTCTCAGAGCGGCTTACAAACTCCTTTCCCTTCCCCTCCCCACAACAGACACTCTGCGAGGTAGGTGGGACTGAGAGAGCTCTGACAGAAACTGCTCTTTTTCAAGAAC